GAGGAAAACGTACTGAAAAGTGTCGTTCAGAGAAGGTTTCCCCGAACATGACGGTATACAAGCTTATGTGAATTCCTTTTGAACCAATTTCTGCGGCTGATAGCTGTGGGGTACTTGAGATTAATGCTGTTCTCTTGTTTTGCTTTTATTCGCGGCAAATAGTCCTTCGAAGATGACGAGAACTTTGGAAGCTATAGTGTAGTGGGGTCCTTTCCGAAAGATTTTGGGTAAGTTTTCGTCATATCACAGTTTGCCAATCGCTCTGTGGTGTTCAGTATTCCTGCAGTCCATTCAAGGAATCAGTTGTTTTTGTAGTTATAAAGAAAATATCCTGTTGCCTCTTATACTAGCCTACGTGGACCGGTACCTGGACATGAATTCTTGGAGATACAACCTTATTTGATAAGCTGCTATATAAAATTGGTTCTAAATACCAATCAAGCTTGCTGCGGATATTTTTCGAGAGTTGCTTTTGAGGACTTGCTTTTGAGGCTTGTCCTTTTCCCATTAAATACGTAAGAAGCTGATTAAAATTACAGCGAACGGCCAGTCTTGTGCAACGTACATGTCCAAGAGAGAAAACGAATCGTTCTAAGTACGGTCGGTCTTTCACAAGTCTCATATCGTGTCAGCTTGAATGATCCAGAGTTAAACCATAATGTTCTTTATAAAGGGTAAAATGGATAAATTGATGTCCATTATTTTTCATTATTATTTTGTTATCTTGATATACCTGCACGTGTAAATAATTCTCAAGACGTGCAAATAATATTAGACACAGGAAAATAAATTGCTAATGGAACATTCTTAAGTGAGATTAGTATCCTTCAGGGTTTACTCATGCACATGTTAACAAGCTGATAAGGAAATAAGTCGTACAATTTTTAGAATGATGTCACTACTAATCTATCTGCTGACAACTGCATGATTTTCTTGTGTTTAGCTATGGTCCTGAGGATCAAGATGAACTGGCCAGCAGTGATAATAAGCCCAGGATTCTATTGTTGGGCCTCAGAAGGTCTGTTCATTTCAAACAGAGATATGGGTTCTCTAGTATATTAATACACATGTACAGCTTGCGCACCTTTACGCATGATTTTGAAACTCACTACGAAGATATTGGTTGTAACCATAAAATCTGTTTATAATTTATATGTGTAATTAGAAAACAGCCCAAAGAAAATAAGTGCACTGATTGGTTGAAAATCGTGTTTGTGTAACTCCATAGAAACACAGAACTAGCACGAGCTGTTGACCTAATGATAGCGCAAGCAAAGAGAATTTACATTTTGATTATTAAAGTAAACAAACTGTTTCCCTTTTTTCTGTCGCTATGTTTTCTAAAAGAAATAGAAAACATGTTCCCCGTGTTTCTATCGAGTTATAGAAACACTCGTGGAAGTTTGGGAGAATTCGAAAAAGCTGTGGAAACACTCGCCTGGGGCTCGTGTTCCCACAGCATTTCTTGTTCTCCCAAACTTCCACCCGTGTTTCTATAACTCGATAGAAATGTGGTAGGTGTTTTCTATTTCTTAATTGTTAAATGTACGGTAATACTTTTAACAGTGTCTACAGTGTTAAGCTGTAGACTCCATTTGAGGATGATCTTGAAATGTTCTTAAATACCTTTTCACCTTTCAATTGTAATGTCATCTTGTATGATTACTTGAATCAACATGACGTAACTTTATTCATACTTGTACTATGAAGTACTTTTCTTGGGACAGTGCGTGGGGTTTTGTGCTCAATCCACATGTACATGGGGAATTGTTTTTCATATAATGTAAAGGTAAAGGTAAATTCTGTATACGAGCCAAGTGGCTCATCAGGCCGGAGCTTATCTCCGGTATCCGTAGCATGAAGCAACTAGGAGTATTTTACTTCTCCCTACATGTAGATGGGATGCTACTCCAATTTTGCAGGGCTATCCCCCAGCATTAAATTTGCCGATTCCCATTTATACCCCTGGGTGGAGAGAGGCACTGTCATGCATGGCCATACATTTTCAGAAATATTGTGTAATCTCTTTAGGAGTGGAAAATCTTCAATTCAGAAAGTGGTATTCCACAAGATGTCCCCAAATGAAACGCTCTTCTTGGAAAGTACAAATAAAATAGTGAAAGATGGTATCCTTTTACATATGAAACACTGGTCTGGCATCATCACATTTCGAATGTTAAAGTATTCATGTACATAAAACCCTTTGAGTACATAGATCTAAATCATGACTAAGTCTACATAGACTTTGATAGTCTTTGAGTTTATTTTCATTCTTCCACCTTAAGCCAGCTCTACTCTACTATATATCTGAAATTGTTTGAAGTACATGCACACTCCATTAATGATTTTTATATGTTTAGTGAAGTTTCTGTTAAAGAGGACAAATTCTGAATGTCAGTGCAAGGCTTGGGTTGTCACAAAGTCTTTAAGTAATTGTTTATGAAGCTGAATTTGTCCTCTTTTTCTATAAAATGGCTATCCCTGAGCAGAGTAGCTGGCCAATATCTGAAAGTCAATAATGATTTTTGCCAGCATCTGGCTAGATTTGACAACCATTTAATGTAAGCTTCATTAATATTAATTTAATAAAGCATGTATTGCATGTACTTGTACTAGTAACTTGCATTGTACAAGAACATTTAATACAAACGTTATATGATACCCTTAACTTGCCCGAAAGATATATCAAATAGCTCATTTGTACAGTTCCAGGTGAGATTTTTGCTTTACATACTGTAAATTAATATATCTCTGGGATCCATAGTCACAGTCATCCGGTCATCTGTGAGGACTAAAATATCGTAGGGATGACCAAATCAATACGAAAACTCATCCGCTGGACGAATTTAGTTTGACTCTACCAGAGAAAACAAGAAAGAAAAACATATTTTAAATTTTCTTAAAGACTTTCCTGCATTGTGACGACTTGTCATCCATTTGGAACTTACAGAAAACAGAAAGATTTGCAGCTTTATTCTGCAATAAAATCATAATTTTGATTGGCCATTGGGGATGATGTGGTATTCTCCAGGAATGAAATCATTGCAGGCTCAGTTTTCATTTTGCCAACTACTGATGCTCTGTACTGCATGTGCATCTGTGAAAACACATGGCATGATCACATCACCTGTTTTGATCAGGATATGTCATTTAGTAATGTTATCACTTTGGAAAAACAAGCCTTCATGGCAGTTGAAGAGGCTTTGGTTTCCATTTGCACATCTGGATTTTCTGTATCCGCTGACAGCCACAACTACAGACATGATGCACTTGGAGATTGGTCACGTAGAAAATTATAATAAAAAAAGTAACCTTTCAATTTACAGTACATGCTGTTCTGTTCCCATTAAACGGGCAAGTGAAATTTTGCCAGGACAAGTATGCCATCCAGCATACTTGCCCAGCTGACGACTTGGAGGAAAAAAAAACAATATGGATCCCTGATATCTTCAGTGCCTTCAGAGAACTGGCCTGAAGTGTTACCCTGTAGTTGTAGGAAAATGAACCCACTACATTACATCTAGTTGGATCCACACTGTAAGCATACATGAGGCCATGTAAATGATGTACTTCAACTGTGCTTATTTTTTATAATCATATTCTCTCTTTTTGGTAGATTTGGGACTTTCCTGGACAAATAGACTTTTTTGATCCAGCATTTGACTCGGAAGTGTTATTTGGTCACTGTGGAGCTCTGGTCTTCGTAATAGATGCTCAGGTATGCTGTAAATGTACAGTGTATAGTACATTGACAATGACAGCAAGTGTTATGTACAAATTATGTTATTGTTTCAATACAATACAATAATAGTCCATGAACTTTATTTATAAAGTGAGTATATACAAAACTAAATATTATAATTTGAACTAAATTAAGTATAAACTTAAAGATAGAAATAATTATCTTCATGTAATCACTTCAATAGGGTACATTTAAACATGTGACGTTATAATTCTTATAAATTTCTAGTATTGAAATGTGTGAAATGTGTCCATCATGCAAGTCTGCTGTTTTCT